TGTAGGACCTTGCACTTGGCTTGGTTTAAGGCATAACCTGCTCACTTACAGATTGTACCCAGGCAGTCACATTTCTCAGCACTCTTCTCTGCTGCCAGCATTGCTGCTGCATCATTTGGGTTCAAAGTCTGCCCTCTCCAGGCTTCAGCCTTCCTCCCACAGTCAGATCTTGCACAAGAGATACATCAGTGGTGTGGTGGTCTGCAAGCAACCATGCACTGTTGGTGTGTTCCTTCACCTGAGGGTATTGTGTGGACTTTGAAAGAGGCTGGAGAGCGTTGGTTCAGCACAACAAATATGCTCCTTGGATGGGCTCAGCAGCCAGCTGTACTACGTTGGTGCATGCTTATGATTAGTGTTGTACCATGGTAGCACTCACAGGAGAAGCTCTTATCGGAAGGGAAAAAGAGGAGGTATCTTGGGAAGGGTCTGGAAACTCTTCCTTAGATTGCCAGCACCCTAAAGTTTCACCTGCAAGATCCCTTACATATTGAAATCCCATGTCTGAGGCACCTGTCTAGAACTCAGTGGACCTCTCTCCCCATTAAAATATCGAATGGAGCAGTGGGCTGCACTGCTTTAGGCCCTGGGTGGATGTCATATCATTTCCAAATTGTGCATGTGTTTATAATCACACACTGAAGAGTCTGGAGGAGACTAAACTTCAGGGCTGCACAGAAGGGCAGAAACAGTGCCATTGATAGCTCCCATGAGCCCTGACCCACAGGCTTGGCCTTGTTTGCTGCGCCACATTCAGTTTTGAAAAAGTAGTATATTTTTATTTGCTCTAACAGCACAATGGTTTGTCTAGTTGAGGGGAGGGTCAGCTCTGCATCAGAGGGGAATTAGTGGGCTGCCTAGGGTCTCCAAACTCATAGCTTGTGGTCTCACAGGCCGGCCAGAGGCAGGGCAAGAACTCTGGAAATAGAGACTTATTTTTACCTCTAAAACCACCAGTGGCTGATGCAACTCCAAAAGGCCCTGGAGTTATACCCTTCCTCCTTCAGGGTGGGCTAGAACCTTTTCTAATCACCAGCTATTTTGTACACTTTTCCTTGTGCAGCAATTGAAAGGGAAGATCCTTGTGAAAGGCAAGAAGCTGAGTAGACAGGAGGACCCCGCTGGAACAAATGGGAACAACAACCTGGAGGCAGAGGATGTCTCCGATGAAGATGAAGCAGCTGAAATGGAAGATGAATCTGTAAAGACTGAGATACAGCAGAAGGGGAAGGTAAGTAAAAGAATTAACTGAGTCCTGAAAAGGGGCAGACCTGGAAAGACAGAGAAGCTACAAACAAGATCTTTGCCTATTGCAATGTCTCTGAAGCCCTGCATCAGGAAATCCTGTTTTGTTTTCTGTCCCATGACTCATGCTGGGAAACCACTTTATAGGTGGATTTTGTACCATGCCTAAAAAGAAAAGAAAATGAAACAAAAAACAATTGAAATATAGTTTTAATATGTTCCTTGCTAAGACAGTTTTCAGTGTGGTTTTGGCTACTCAGCTGGAGATGTGTAAGGGTGAATTGTTGAAATAGCTGGAGCTAAGGATCCTGGTCCTTGCTCAGCTTAATTTTCTCTGTCCCAAGTACAAACAGAGATCTTGCAGAGCCAGCCAAGCATGAAGGCATGAAGGTTGGCTTCTTTCCTTAAAAGGAGGCTGGAGGACCCTCAGCTGGGACAGACTATGTAGCATTTCTGGAAGCAGTGGAAGGGCACATGTTCAATCTATCTCTGTGTGATTTGCAGAGATCTATTTGTCATGGGAGCATCATGATTTCATTTATTACCAGAGGCTGGTGACAGAGACTAGTCACATTCTGGGACATACCTGCACCCTCACTGGCCATGTGTTTCTGACCAGGAGAAAGGAGGGAGGAGAGAGCTATGGATCTATGGGGAAGGGGTGTCTGGTTACCAAAGCAATTTGGATTACTATTTTGGGAAGAAAAGGCTGGCCTTTACACCAGTGTTTTGCTCCCTCATGTTAGGACATTAATTTTTGTGGACTGTAGGTCACTGTGAAGATCGTATCCCTTATGGACCAGGCTCATAGGAGCTATAAATACGTTCAGTCCTACAGATGGCAAAGCTGATTGACATTGCCTCTGGATCTGGTCTGATCTATGCTTCCCTTTGCTGATTTGCTCACTATTTGAGGGTCTTGCATCTTTCTCTGAATTGTAATCAATAACGTGTATCATTTTGAAGTCTGTCATTTTCTTTCCTTGCCTCCAATGGAAGCTGGTGGCTCTCACTTCACCCTTGCACCAATGAATGTGGCTGTGGAGTAGGAGGCATCAAAGCTTTGTAAGAGATTCCTTGTTCAAGGGGAAAAAAGCCCAAGCTTTGTGGAGGCCAAAACATCCTTCTCTTGCCCTTATTTCCAGGTTTGCATGTTTAGGACCAGGACAATACGGAAAAATCATTACTAAGACTCTGTTGTAAAGTTTAGCAAGTGGAGACAGCCATTGATGTTGAAATACAAGTGGTCATGCAGAGAGCAGCAGAAAGGGTATCCCACCAACAGAGAGAGAATCTAGATGGAGAGCATCATACGACAAGGGTGCTGGGACAGCAAAGCATCCATTATGTGAAATCCTCTGTTAGATCTCCAATATGGGCTAATTGGGTCGGTTGCTCCTGTGTTTGTAGCCCTAATGACTTGTGAGTTGTGATAGTCAAGCTGAAATACTCATTCATATAATAACACGCCAATAAATGCAGAAGGAGGGATGGCTCTGATGAAATATTCTTGGTAGTAACACTTGGGAAGTCAGTGATACCACTGGACAGGCCAGGATGGGCCTGAGAGGAAGTGTTGCTCTGAGAGTCAGGATTAGCACTCTCCACGCAGGGTGAGGCACATGGCAAGGCCAGGCTGCCCCATTTTCACTCTCTCTTTGCATAAGAGTGCCACTGAGTGTTGATAGTGTGCACTCTTTTCATGTGAAGGTGGTGGAGAAGAGAAGTCTCGGGGTCCTAGACAAAACGTGGTTATTACTTTTGAGTATGACTGCAGAAACTCTTTCTTGGTCTCCTGCTTTTAGAGTGACACCTTGAAGCTGGCCAAGGAACTGTCGGACACAGTTGTCTACTGCAAGAGTGTCCATTTCAATGGCTTTGAGGACCCCAGCCATCCTCGGGCTTTCTATGAGATGTCATCGTTCACAGAGAGCAAAGCTCTGAAATTAGCCCAGGAGTCTGGTATGTATGTTCTGCCCTGGCAAAAGGCCATCCTCTGTCCCAGTCCCTCATAAAGGAACAGTTAGTGGTGGTTAAGCACAAGGAGAAGGCATCTTGAAAGACAGGGCTTATAATCTCTATGGTCATGTATGTCACTGAGAAACAGTGGGAGTAACTTAATATCATAGAGGCTGTTACCAAGAAGGGCATTTTTTACAGGTAGTTTACATTCAGCCAGACTCACTAGGCAGAGCATCAGTATACATAAAGCAGCATCAAGAGGAGATAAAATTAGACCCAGTCACTGAAAGGGCCATTTTCTTCTGTTTTTTCTGTAGCAACCAGTTTTATCCATCACAACATCAGGCACCTGAGCCGGATCTACCCTGCAGGCTGGAGGACAGATTCTTCCAACTACAACCCCATTGACTTGTGGAACGTCGGCTGCCAGATTGGTGGGTGCAACTGGGAGGTCAGAGAGGGTCAGCCAGGCTGGGTGACCCATGGCCTGGCTATGGAGGGCCTTCAATTGATGTAGATGTGTGATCTCAAGCCCTTTGTGGGCAGAGAGGCTCAGTGGTCACTGGGAGAGATCAGCTGTTCAGCAAATGCTCAATGACTTTTCATAGACCATTTTCTGCCCCACCTCAAAACTGTCAGGAGAGCCTTTTCTGTACATCTATTTTGGTCACAGCTTCTGTACTTCTACACAAAGAATTCAAACAGTGAGGAGCTCTCTGGTCTAACCAACAGAGGCATCAATATCCCTCAGGATAGCAAATGAAAATAGGCATATCTGGGCTGGAAAGGAGGTTTTATAATGAGGCTAAGTAGCCAGAGAAAAGATCTGAGAAGGATTTGCTGGCTTCACTGCAGGACATAACTCCTTCAGCACAGAAATAAATAGGTTTATCTAAAAGATGCAGTTGCTCAAGCAGGTGACATAAATTCAATGTAGGACACTTTTTGATCCTGTTGAAGGCAGGAGGACAAATGAGATGGCTGTAATGGCTCCTTCTGTCTCTAGCGTCTATGCAAGAAGTCCTCTGGGGTAGCAGGCTGTGACAGTCAGAGTTTATCACTGTTCTTTGAAGTGTGGAAAAACAAATGTTTGTGTCCATGAAGTGCAATTTCATGTGAATAGTATTAGTATAAAAAGATTACCATTGATTTATCTGAAAGTGACTGAATTTATTTATTTATGTTGCAGTTGCCCTAAATTTCCAGACAGCAGGCACAGAAATGGATGTCTACCAGGGTCGATTCCAGGACAATGGGTTTTCTGGGTATGTCTTAAAGCCGGAATTCCTCCGGGATGAGCAAACCAAATTCAATCCAAAATCCATCACAGAAGGAACATGGGGGACAAAGAAGAAGCTTCTGCTTAAAGTAAGAATAGAAGTTGTAAATTGTTTCAGTAGCATCCACTTTCAGGGGGGAATGTAGGTTATACCTTCTCCTTCTCCTGGTCCCACCTGCTCAGTGTTATCCCAACCCTACTCTTTTCCCACTGCTGGGATTTCTGCTTCAGTCCTGCCTGGGCTTTCATCTTCAGGGACTTACTCACATGTGTAGTGTTTGGCAATAGGAGAAATTAATGACAATATTCACTTTCATTACACAAACATAAGGCAGACATGCAGTCAACAGTCACCACTGTTGTTTACAAGTATCATCTAATCACTGTGGGGACAGTTAGAAAAGTTGCCTGTCCCCTAGCCAGCTGGCTGGGCTGGAGCAATGTTCTTAAGGTACCTTGACTCATGACAACTTCCTCCGAAGGACATCACACTGGCTCTGAAAGATCTGCAACAGCTTGTCACAGCAGGTCCTGCACTCCTGGAGAAGGAGAAGGAAGCTTGCCAGGGAGCCCTCTCTCCTAATGATGACCTGACCTCCTCCTCTGTTTCCTTCACAGATCATCTCTGGTCAGCAGCTGCCAAAGGTGAACAAAAGCAAAAACTCCATCGTTGATCCTAAGGTAACAATAGAGATCCATGGTGTCCAACAGGATAACAACAAGAAGCAGACCAAAGTAATTGAGAACAATGGTAAGGGGTTCTATTCCATGCAGTGCTCCCATGGGGCAGTAATCCTTTCATTTTATGTAGCAAAGTGTTCCTTCCCAAGACTGCTGCCCTGTGGCCAGGCTTGCTCAGGTGCACCCAAGCCTCCCCACACTAGGCAGTGTCACAAACTCACAAAAGATGCTAACTCAAGTTGCTCATAATATTGCCCAGATGGATTTTGAGCATCTCAAAGGACAGAGATTCCTCAGACTGTCTGGGCTCTCTCAAGTGATCCTGTCTTTGACTGACCTCATGATAAAATAAGATAGCTCTTATGCTTAACCAGAAATTCCTGTTGCAATTTGTGCTCATTATACATCAAGGTTTTGTTGTGCACCTGTAAAAAGGGCCTGTCTCTGTCTTCTCTAAAAAGAGGTAGTGGAAGATGGAAATAGTAAACATAGCCTTGAAAACTCAATCTCTTCTCATATGTAACATAGTCTGTGCAAAAGGAGAGCATTTCCTGTAACTCAGAGTCTCTTCACAAGGCAGGGATGCTGCATTTGCTCATTGTTTTAGCCAAAGTGGCCCAACTTAATGCACATCACAGCTATGTTATGGGTGAGGGGTGAAAGCCATCAGCCCCCACCCCCAAAGAGACAGGCTCAAGCCTTACCCATCACTGACCTCAGAGATCTCACAGACATTTCACTTCCCCATGGACCACTTCACATCGGTCAAACATGGCTGGGATTTCTCTCTGTGCAGTGAGGGTCTGAATATTGGGGCCTTCTGAGTTTGCAGAGCACACATTCAGCTTTCTCCTGGGGGAGCAGTGAGGCAGTAGGAGTCTGAGAAATCAGTCATTGCCCTCCCACTGACAAACGCAGGCACACACACACACTGCTTTTCTGTGTGGAGTAAGAGCCAAATGCTAGAAAGCCACTGCGTATTTTCCTCCCTGCTAACAATGTTTCCCTTTTCCTCTTTCCTGTTTGAGTAAATCTGGCCTGGCTGCTAAAGCTCATGGCCTTTTCCGTTACCTACAATGATTTTTATATTGCTTTGAGTGAAAGCTCCATAGGGGATGTTTCAGACCTGCCGGGCCTGTTCCTTAGGGCTGCTCAGCACAGCCAGTCCCACAGCCAGCCCCTGGCTGGCTGGAGTGATACTGGAGTGATGCTGGGGTGATGCTGGAGGGAGTGCTGCTCAATGGAAAGTGAATTAAACAATGAAAACATCAGTTTTGGAAAGAGGCAGCTGCAACAAGAGCTACATTTCATGGGCTGAGGCTTCAGATGCATGAACATGCTTCGGCAGCTCACCTGGTTTGATGTTTTGTGGTTGGACTCCATCTTAAGGGTCTTTTCCAGCGTTAATGATTCCATCATTTTATGACTCTGTGTTGGTGGGACTGAAGCAGGGGCTATGAGCACAGATCAGGTCAGAGCAGCTGTGGAGCTCGAGAAGTTGTGGAAACCTGCTGGCTCAGCAGCTCTGAGCATCCCACCAGGGCTCTGAGATGGGTTGAAAATCCTCCCCAGACATCAGTACAGTGGAACCTACTGTCCTAGGGCTGATGGCTTTATCTTGACTTTCATGATTTCTGCTCCTATGGGATCAGCAACACTGTTTTTTCCCCAAGGATGAAGGGGATCAGGAGCAGATGTGTGTTTTCTGAACAGTCCTGTTAATTTAACCATAAGAATGTCCAAATAAAGTGCACCAGCACAGGTATTTTGCTATGAGACTGTCCACAGGCCCATCTCAGCACCTTCAGAGCCAGCTGAAAGATCCCTGCTTCTTTCAGAATCAACCACAAATCCTCTGTGAACAGCTGACATTTTGCTGTCATTGGGCTGATGCCACCAGGGTTTCAAACAGGGTGTCCTCTCCTCCTGTTTGTTTCTAGGGAGTGGTTTATTGAAACTGCAGAGAGCACCCACTGTGACCTGGAGAGAGAGTATCGAGCTTGCTCTTCATCTCCCATCTGATGTGGCGGTCTCTGGTTTTATTTGCCTTGTGAGTCCAGACCACTAGATCCTTATCCATGACAGAAGTAGGGCTAGTCTGGCTGTCTCAGACACTGCCTTTACACAGGGAAACAGAAAACATTTTGTCCATAGACTTGATGATGCTTTTGTAAACATTAACCTTTCTTGCAGATAGGGAAACTGAGGCACAAGTTGGGTGTACTGCAGCACTCAGTGAGGCTGTTGCAACACAAAGGCACAGCTCTCCTTCCTGTTCTCCCCTGGTTTAAGGCTGCAAAAATTTTCAGGTGGTCCAGTGGCAACCAGAGACATCCATGTATCAGACAGTGAGAACCTGTAGAGCAGAGCTGAGCTCACCTCCCTCCTGCTTCTCGCTGCCTTCTGCGACCATGATGCTGAGGTCTGAAGTGAGCAGCCTTAGCTGAAATATTTATTAATACCAGGTAGCAAATCAGTATCAGAGCTGGGAACAAGGCTCTCAGCATCTCCTATGACCTTTGGCCTCAGTCAGGCAAAGTCTCCATCCATGTGCAAGCATTTCTGACTGCCATCCTTGCTTGTGAGCATCTTGCTTCCTTCCTTATTTGTGAGAAGTTCTGACTGTCATCCTTGTCTATGTTGTCCAGGCTTTAACCCAAAATGGGATGAAGAGTTTACATTTGACATAGAGATCCCTGCACTTGCCCTGGTCCGGTTTGTGGTGGAAGACTTTGACATGTCGACCAAGAATGACTTTATTGGGCAGTACACCCTTCCCTTCACTAGTCTGAAGCAAGGTAAGGCCCTGCTCCCTGTTGCTCACAACAGTGAGCCTTTGGGAAGCTCCAGTGTGCTAGAGGAGTGATCCACATCCATCATAGCTCAGGTCAGAACAGGTTCCCCTCTCTGGGGAGGGGGAAGGTGATAAATGGTTTATCGGGCAGCTGTTAATACTGTCTCTGGGCAAGGGATCCCCTTGTCACCAGTGGCCTTGGGCCTGAAATATTGCCAATGCTTAGACCAATGCCTCTCAGACCTACCTGTTCTGTGGGGCTCTGGGAGCAAAATGCTCTGAGCCAGGGAGGAGATGTTTTTGCAGAGTCTTGGCAAATGTTACCAAATATTTTTCCAGCCGGACTAAAGGGCACTTTCCATCTGTGCCTCTGCTTCCAGGTTACCGCCACATCCATCTTCTCACCAAGAATGGAGACCCGTACTCCTCCTCCACCCTCTTTGTGTACATCAATATTGAGGACTGTGATTAGCAGCTCAGCTCTTTCAGGGCACAGTGATCCTCGTTACGGACTTAGAAGGAATTCAGCATGTGAAGTCTGCCAATGACAGGGTCCTGTTGAATCCTCAGCACATTCTCGGGAGCAGCCCACGGTGCTCCACAGGACCCCTGATGTGAGATAGCCATTGGCCTTCTCCCTTAAGTGTGCTGGAAACATCCTGATGCTGCTGTTGAGATTAATCCTTTTGTACCTGTTTGACCAATCCAGCTGTGGTTTTAGTTCACTTAGTGTGTGATTTTTTAATTTAGCTTTTCATGAGAGGATAGGGGCTTGTTTTTAGCAAAATACAGCTCTTGGGTTGCGTTTGGTCAGACATCTGGACAAAACATCTGTGCAAGAAAACATCCACCCCACCACTGAAATCAGTGGCCAGATGCCAGGTGACTTCTTGCAGCTTCAGATGTCAACCATGTTTCACCATATGAAGTCTTAAATGGGGACATGATTCTCCTCTTTCCTGTTACAGATTTAAAAAGAAAGCTGCACTACAAAGGCCCACGTTATATAACTCGCCTTTCCTTTTGTATTGTAATAAAAAATACAAGAACACTACTCTGCCTGTGTGCCTGGCTCTCGGCCAGGGCGCTTTGCGTTCGCAGCCTGGCTCTGGTCCTCTGAAGGAGAAAGAAGCTGCCGAGTGGCAGAATTCCCTCTAACCCAAAGCGAAACCCACTCAAAGGGACCTCAGAGAATGTTTTATGTCAGTGTCTCTGGAAGTACGCTCAACTGACAGTAGGGCTTTTTTTACCATTCAGTAGGACTTTCTTTGTTTGTGTTTTTATAGAAAAATGTCATTTTTTAACACAGAGGAAGTGGCGGTAGGAGCCGTTGTAAATGTTAGCCTGTCCCACTTGCACTGTAGAGGTAACCTAGCACAGACAGACAAGAGTGTTTTGAACAGCAACAGAGTATTTATGGCAACAAGTGATTTTTCTTCAAGTACAAAGTTAAGGGAATATTGTTGAAATGAAATAATATATATTTTGAAGTGCCAACTATGTTACTAACAGTATGTTAGACTATTAAAACAATCTGGAAAAGTCCAATTACTTGTCACTATTTGCTTCTTTGTCTTACTTGAATGCAACACACATGAAGTTGGAGACAGATCTGCTTGAATTCTTCAAGCTATCCATCTTTCTGGGGTTTTTCATGCTCAGCAGTGGAGAGGACAGGCTGCTACCAAAGAGTTTCATGTCCCTTTAAACCTATTCCACTCTCCCACCTATTTCTGAGTCCAAAATAGCCTGGATGTAGTAGTCCTTGGGCCCACAGCAAAACTGGGTTTCATTTAGTGCTACCTGGAGTTTGTTATGCTGCAGTAATCCTTGCTGGACACATTGAAGTTTCCTCTTCACTACAGTATTGTGTGATATTGTAAAACATTGCCAGATTAAATGTGAATTATACCCACAACTCAAAGGCTCATATTGAATTAACAACCAAGAGCTCAAGAGTGGCAGAAGCCACTAAGGCCAAACAGGGTGTCCTGCAGTGACATGGGCTCTCTCTTAGCTCACCACTGGTTTGGGGCATTTGTATCAGGAGACCCATTTGAAGGCCAAGATGGGAGCATCATTGACTCCATCTCAGGATGAGTCAGATTAACCTACTGAGCTAGCTAAAACCAAATTTTTTGTGGTTTTGGTGTTGCAGGATTAGACTTCAGTGGATTTTTGAGTTAAACCTGCCCTCAGCTGCCTGCTGTGGCCAGTACCAGAGAAATGGGGAACAAAGTGGGGAGATGCAGGGGCAGGACCACACTGTCCAAGGCCACAGTGGGTTTATATAAACGATACAGAGAGGCCACGAGTTAGTCTGCTTATTGTGCACATACATAAAAATAGACAAGATTGGTGGGAAGAGAGAACATCCTTCATCAGATAGGCACAGCTGGGGGAAAACTACTGGAGCCAGGTGGGAAAGTAGCTGAGATGGAGATGGAATGGACCAGAGCACGATGGACAATGATGCAAGGTCTCCTCTCTCCCCAGAGGAAGGAACATGGCCTATGCTGTTATTGTGGAACCTCATCTCTGAGCAGATTAGGAAGTGCTAGAGCCTCACTATAAGGAAGATCTCTGGTGTAAAGAGCAGCACAAGCAGGACATGGCCCACCAGACACCACAGCAAAAGCAGCAAGTGACATGAAAAGGAGAATGTGGGTGAGAATCTTTCCTTTAGAAACCAGAGGCAGAGAGTAAAAACAACTCTCCCAATGAGGAGAGCAGCAGCAGTTTACAATAGGCCCAAATACCAGAAGGATCTATTATCTGTAAAATCCCATGCTGGTTTCCAAGTCCTGGCAGAAGTGCTCCTCTCAAATGTTGGTGAGCGTTGTGGCAGCAGGCATTAAAA